AGGTATGTGATCCTAAACACCAGAAGGGGGCCTTGACCGGCAGGCTGGCTGAATCTGTAGGGATCCAGAGGGCAGATTTGTACCCAAGGGTGGAAATGCAAAAATAGCATCTGGGCTCAACAGAAGGAAGATCTTCTAATAATGAGTGCTTTCCAGGCACTAAGGTGGTGAGTCCTCTGCCCCGGGTGCGGGTATGCAGAACACCCACCTGCCTGCGAGGCTAGAGCACTAGAGTGGGAGTCATCCTGGCTTTAGGTGGCTGGCTCAGACCCACAGGTTCCATTCTGTGGTTCTGCTGTCCCAGGGGCAGGTGAAGGAGGTGCAGACTTCTGCAGAGGAGGGACTCCTCCTCTCTGGCGTGTAGTCCCCCCACTCTGTGGTGCAGGGAGATGCTGCAGAACACTGCAGAGGCGCACAGGGATCAGGGTGCAGTGCTGCACCTCAACCCTCAGGGTCAGAGGCTGTGAGGGGTGTCCCCGATGGAGGAGTAGATGCAGAGGAGGGCGATGCTGGGGGTTAGCCAAAGACAAAGTGCTGGTTTTGGCAGACTAGGACCAGGGACGATCACGGGGCGGGCAGCGCTGGCCACAGCAGCAGGTGTGAGTGGCACAAGAGTGAAGTTCCAGAAACACCCAGGATTCCAGCTGATGTCCTGTTACCTGCCCAGTCTAGGTAGGAGCGGCCCTGTGGCCTAGGGTGGAGGCAAATGTTGATGAGAAAGGGCATCTCCCAGGTTGCTTGTGCTTCAAGGACACGGGTGCCCTGGGCACTCGGCAGCATCTGTCCCCGCTCCACAGAGCAGAGGATCGGCCTCTCACACCTACTCACCCCTCCCACCCCCCTGCCCAACTGCAGGGCTGTGGCCGCCTTGTGGAGAGAACAGATTATTCACAGCAATCTGGACAAGCAAAGCCCAAAGCACAGGCCTGGTGGGGCCCTGGAGAGCATCTAGCCCAGCCCTGGAAGAAAATTTTCTGAATCTGGTGAGCAAAGAAATGCCCTTGGGGCCAAACTTGTGGAAGGGTGGGGGCCCACGTAGCTCCAAGGTTCTGTGCCTGCTCCTCGAGAGTGCATGCAAACCTGCACAGTGCACCTCGCCAGGTCCTCCCTCTGCCGTGCTGTAGGGCCGGGCTGGGGACAGGCTACAGGTGTGCTGTGTCACAAGGTCCTGTCCAACCTCGGGAACGGTTGGGAAGGTCAGAATGGGCAGCGGCTATGGGTGTGCAGCACCGGCACAGCGGTGCTGGGTGACATGCACGTGTCACTGGTCCACTCGGGACCCCAGTTCTTGGAGAATCCTCCGCCCGCGCCTGCCCTCCAATATGCTGAATGAAAGCGTTTCTTCCCTGCCCTACTGAAAATAGCACAGAACACGGCTCTGGGAAGACCCACCCCCTAAAACCCACCTCCACCTATTGACTTAGAAACATAACTTCCCAGTTTCCATCCCTTTTCCGTTTGACCTGCTCTTCTGAGGACCTGTTACCATGGCAACCCTCAAGTGATCAAGTTCCCTTTGGTGAGGAAGTGGGACTCTGGATTCCAGCCTCCTGGGTTCCTGTACACCCTGACTTTGCTCCCCAACCCCCAAGCTGTCCTACTTTGTTCCTTTGCCTGCTGGACTGAAGGTGGAGGGGCAAGTTAAAGTCACAAGGGGTCAACAAACATGTTTTATCTTTGAGATCCTTATGAGGTGGGAAGAGGGTGCTTTGGGGCTCTTTCAGGATGTGACTGCCCTGTATTAATTCAGGCTCTTACTCAAAGCAACCTGGGATACTCTCAATCTGCACTTCCACCCCCAATCTCTACAGGTCAGGAGGATGCTTTTCATTCACAAATGGAGAAACTACATCCCAAAGTTCAGGACTTCCAGACTGGGGACTCAGGATTGCAGCCTCCTGGACTGTCCCTGATGCAGGCCAGGGCCCAGGGTGCTCTCTGGAAGCCTAACGGCTGGCTCTGGACTACTGGCCAGCGTCCAAAGGCATCTGCTTTCTGGGATTGACCCAATTCCTCCTGGGCACTCACTCCTCAGTCTTCCAAGTTTCTAGAGTTCCCCAGTGGGACCCTAGTTATTTGGCAGCTTCCAAGACACGGGAAGGGGCAGAGAGCCTGCCTAGACCATCTGGGACCCAGCTGATTTCTGGGAAGGGGATGATCATGTTTCAGTTCTTCTTTTATTCCAGAAAGGTCCTTACTCAAGGTGCCTCAAACAGTGCCCTCTCCTCAGAAATTGAGTCTTGGCAGCTTCTCGCCTGCGATGGTACCAGGGAGTGAGTGTAACCTGACTCTGAGGCGCATTAGTGGGGAACAAACACCCTGTGTCTTTAGCAAACATCCTGAGGTGTCAAGGCAGCCACTTGTGTCCCCAAGGGGGCCACCCTGCCTGTCACTGAGGGCCTGTCCTGACACCTGGAACACCTTTGTGGGCTTTGAGAGACTGACCTGGCCCTCATCCACCTCCACACTCAGTCTACACACCCGTACCTCCAGGAAAGTGGCTCTACTTAGAGGCCATTGCCATTTGAGGCCAACACTGTCCTCCTAGGGCCTAAGTTGTCCCCTCCCTTGGGTCCTTTCAGCTGGAGACAGTCCACCATGTCTTCCAGACTTTCCACCACCCCTTCTCCTCTGCCTGTGGGGTCATTCAGGCAAGCCTGGTGGTGACTGGGGATAGACACAGGCCTTGGCCAGCCAGCCCCTTTTTACCTCCTGACCCTCCCTTCAAGTCTCCAGGACAGAGCTGTGACCAGGAGTCAGGGATGCATGTGGGCCCTGCCATTGTCTCAGCTCTAAGGCCTCTATGCTCCTGGCCCTGCGTTTTCCCCAGGGGACGCAGGAAGCAGGTTTTCTCTCTTCTTCTCCAAGGCAGCTGAGAGGGTGTCCTTGGAGAAGCGACAGCTGCTAAGCAGGAATAAGGGACCACATCTCAGCCTCCCTTCCTGCCGTTCATCCTCCTCCCCAGCCAGCTCTAGAACTGCTTGGTAGGGTTTCTGTGGTTACTGCTTCAGGAGAAGCAAGGGAGAGGGGTTTCCACCAGCAGCCAGGTCCTGGGCAGCACCTCCCCACATCTGGGGATGCCCAAACAAGTAAGTCACCCCCAAAGGTGAAGCCCTGACCCTAAAACAGCTGGGCCTTCTGCTGGTCAGCGCACCTGGCACTGCTTTCCACTCCCCTAGTTAGACAGTCCAGCAATCTCCTCAGCCTCCCGCAGCTTGGGGTCACCCTCTCAGGCCTCAACACTGTTCAGTTACCACCTCCTAGAGAGCCTGAAGCATCCTCTCCTCTCCAGTTCCTTCCTATCACAGGGCCCTTTTTCATTGTCTCCACAGCCCTTCCTGGTGCCTGATGCTATTTCTTTTTTCCCATTCTAGTCAGACTCTAGTCACTAGATTGTAAGCTCCTTGAGGACAGGACAGCCCACTCTGGTGGGCTGAACTCAGCACAGAGGAGGCCTGCTGCCTTTGCCAAGGTGGGGGCTCCTGTGGGTTTCTGCACTCACCCCCACCCCCTCTTCCCTGCAGTGACTGGGTCATCAGGAGGGACTCTCTGGAGGGAAAGGCTGCTCTTCTCTTCTCCGCCCTTGTCTGTCTCCTAATTGCTACTGCAATGCCCTTGTGCTGACTCCTACTTGAGATTCCTATCCAAAGCTCCAAATCCTGATTTGGAGTCTGTCATCCAGGCCACTATAGGAGACTGGGGATAGGAGGGGTTCTGGGAACCCCCAGGACCTGGGCGAATCAGTCTTCTCCAGTTCTGCATTCCCCGGGGTCCCCCCCCCCATCCATCCCGACCGCCCCAGTCGTCCAGCTAGTCGCTAGACTGCGGCCGCGTCGGCCCCGCCCCTCACACGCGCAGGGACACGCCCCTTCCCCGTCCCAGCGGGGCGGGCGGCCAGGCTGGTACCCGGGAAGCTAAGCTCGGGTCCCTTGGCGCCGGAGGACCCACATCTCAGCCACCGCAACAAGTCCTCGGAGTCAAGGCAGCTCGCCCGGGCTGCGCGCCTTGCCAAGGTCCTTTCGTGGCCTCAGCACGGTCCGGGCGGTTTTACGGGGCACAGGGCCCGGCGCCCCGCGCATCCCGCATCTATCGCTCTCCCGGCGAGGGCTCTCCGGGGAAAGCAAACGCAGTTCCGGGGCCGCTCCGGGTTTTTTGCCTAGACTCTTCAGGCTCGGAGAACAATGGAGCGGCTCTGCGCTTCCTCCGCCCGAGCAAGCTTTGTTCCTCCCTTCCCGCCGGCTCGGCTTCCATTAGCCAAAGGGCAAAGGCTTCCTAGTCGACGAGGCGTCTCCGCGCGAAAGCCCAGATCTTTTCACACTCCTTTAAAAAACCTGGGGGGTAGGAGTTTGGGCCAGAGCCGGGGCGAGGTATATAGGACCAGCATCCAGATGTGCTCTACTGGCCGGCTGCCCGCCCGTCCGCCCCCCCAGGCCCCAGACGCGTCTCCCCGCCAGAACCCCCACACCCGGGAAATCCGACTCGGGTTCCCACCGGAGATCCACAGAGGAAGTGGAGCCTCAGCTCTGCTCTGGGGCCAAACAGCCCTCACATCTGTTCTCCCCACATCTGTCCTCTAGATCTGCGCTCTCACTAGTCGCTATCCTGGCAATATTGAATGCTTTCTAATTGAGTACAGACCACAACACAACCGAGCTCTCCAGCAGCCCCAGATTTTTCCGTCTTACAAATCTGGGCTTGAAAATTCGAAGAAGCATATAGGTCCTATTTCTGAGAACCTATGTCCCCCGCCCCATTGTCCAGCCTCACCTCAGGCAGGTCTCAGAAGTGCCTGGGTTCCTGCCTGGTGGCATATTTAAGACGTACTTCAACCTTGGGCATGTGGACATCTGTGTGCAATGCCCCCTCAAAACCTGATCTGAGATCTGGGAAACCAAGCAGGAGGAGGAAAAGAGAAAAGAGTTCAGCCTTTCCCAACACCTTCCCCAGCAGCTGGCTAGGGGAAAGCCAGGGGCGGGGTGCTGCGCAGAGGCGAGACTCACCCAGCATTTGGCTGAAGAGCAGCTGCTCCAGATCTCCCAGCACGGTCACCACGAGTTCCGGGTCCACCTTGAGGAAGGCACGCTCCTCCTGGCCCTTGGCGGCGGGCACAGACCCGGAGCCCTTTTGCGCCTTGGCCTTGCTGGAGAGCAGCTCGTCGTCCGACTTGCCGTCGTCGCTCACGGCCGCCTCGGGAGCCTTGCTGAGCGGCTTGACCTCGGCGTACGGGCCGCGCGGGATCCGGCTCGGCTTTCCCAGGCTGGGAGCAAGCGGAGCCAGAGGGGTCTTGGCGCCGCCCGCCGGGCTGCCCTTGGCCTGGAAGAGCGAGTGCTCGGATTTGGACAGCGTCTTAGACATCAGCGGAGCCTCGCGGCCTTTGGACCCCGCCTTGCACAAGCCCTTGGGCGCCTTGGCCATATCATCGCTCCATTCCGGCTCATACAGCTGCATCTTTTTCTCGGAGTCCGTGAGGAACGAGAGGTTGGTGAGAGACTTCTGCTTGCGCAGGTTAGAGGCGGGCGGCCCGGCGGGGACTCGGCTGTCCACGCTGCCGGACTTGAAGACCTTCAGCTCAGCCGCGCTGGCCTTGGCCACGCCGCCGCCGCCACCTCCGGGCGCCTTGGCGCGCTTGGGCAGCATGCCTCTGCCGTCCGCCGCCGCCGCCGCCTTCCTACCCGCGCCGCGAGGCTCGTCCGCGCCCTCGTCGCCGCCGCCGCAGCCGCTCAGTTCCACCTCGGGCTGCACGCTCTTGACGCTGCTCCCCAGCATTCTGCCCGCGAGGAGCGCATGGACGATCCGCGCGTCTGCAGGCACTGGGTGGGGGGGTGCGGGGGGCCGAGGGGCGGGTATGCAGGGAGGAGGAGGCAGGGGAGTAGAAGGGGGAGAGAAAGGACGGAAGAAACCGTGGAAGAAGGGGAGAGGAAGGGGGAGGGAGCGAGGGAGGCGGAGGGTGGCGAGTCGAGGGCACGGGGAAAAGAAATACAAGGAAGGAAGCCGGGGAAAAGGAAAGAGCGAGGAAACCGTGGAGCGATGGGGCGGGGCCGGAGGGAAAGGGGCGGGGCGGAAAATAGAAATTAAAATTTAAAATCAGTCCAAAGAAGAATGGAAGTCCCGCAGTACTGCAGTCCTCAGAGGCGCTTTGGGGTCCCGGCCCCGGTTCTCCCGCCGGCCCGCCCGTCCACCCCGCGGTCGGTGCACAGCCGGACTGCGCCCTCTCGGCACTCCGCCCGCCGGCTGGAGTAGAGGCTGCGGGCTGCAGCTCCGAGCGGAGGAAGGAGGGGAGGGGAAGGCTGAGGAGCTCACGGGAAGAGGGGAGGAGTGTGCGCTAGGGGAGGGAGGTGGGGGAGAGAATGTGTGTCTATTTCTGGCTCCGATGGGGGTGGTATAGGCTGCTGAGATCCAGGGTCGAATGAGTAGGGGGCTGGGGGGAGATAAAGACCCCACCGCGTTCTACTCAGAGGCTGAGAGGGTTCTTAGAGGGCACAGATGGTGGCATAGATCTTTTGAGGAGATGTGGGGGACGGAGAAGAGTGTCCATGCTGCGCTGATGGACCCTGGGAAGACATGGTAGGTGGTAGGAGACGGATGGGGAAACAATGTTCAGGTCGCACCCCAACCTAACCCTTCAACACCCTCCCCATTTCCCAGTTCCTCACTTCAGTCTGGAGGCACAAGGCTGCCCTCCTCAGGTTGGGGATCCTTCTTGAGATGGGGGCTGGGGGGTGGGGGAGAGGAGATGGGCACTGGAGGAAAGGACAAACTCCAGGGATCAGAAGACTGAGTTCAGGTCAAATTGACTGCATGACCTTGTCAAAGTCATTGCCCACTTCTAGTTCTCAGACTTCCTACAAGTTATAAGAGTTTCATGGGTTAAAGGACTGGAGAATCAGAAGGAGGCTTAGCATGGATCTTCAGCCTGCCAACCTCAAGTGGGGCTGCAAAGCAATTGAAAAAGAATACTTTCTCTAGACTTCCCTCTGCTTCCATCTGGGCCCAGGGAAGTGAGATGAGGGGGAGGGGTGCCTGGCTGAGGCAGCGATGGCCTCAGACTGTCCCTCAATAGAGGAGGACACTGCCCCTCCTCGTGCCTTCCAGGTCAGGACCAAGTGGCTTGAGCAAAAGGTGCTCACACCATGAGGTAAGCTTAGGACATGGGCTGTCTCTAAAGCAGAGCTTGCAGCAGCAAACCTGTACATGGAGCCCCGTGCTGGGAACTGTAAAGCCCTAAGAACAACAAATGCTCTCTCAGATTATTCCTCCAAACCCAAACCCCAACCCCAACCTTCCTGTCTCTAGCTCCCCAGTCCCCTAGGATCTGAAGAACGGCGTTTCTGAGTAGCATGGCACACCCGCTTTCCTTGCACCAATCAGCACCACCTGCCTACATGAGAGGTGTCTCCCCCATCTATACCAGAGCTGTCCAGGTGCAGAACTGTGTCCTCAGCACCTTGCATGGAGCAAGTGCTGCAGTGTGCTGGTCCAATGGACCTGGAGGCCTGAGTGCCATAACCTGGGTCTCTAACCTGCATGACTCAGGTCCTGTGGCTCAGTGGAGAACATCAATGGTAGCAGAGGATGTGCTCAGCAGAGTGCTGAGAACAGAGGTCTCAAGTGAACAGTTGCTTAGTAAGAAGCATAGACCCTTGATGAGGCCATGGAGATACAGAGAAAGATGGAGAGCTTGCCCTTAAGGGATGTGTGGCGGGGAATGTAAGATGGATAATACCAGACCCAGCAAAACAATCGTCCTGTCTGTGAAAGAGCAGTGTCACTCACATCGACACGTTCATCACAAGTACACAGAGTCAGGTACGCACTAACCACAGGAGTGAGATGAGGGAGACTGCTCTTGGGGGACACTGGCCCCTGCCATGACTGTTGTCACCCCCAGATCTAACATTAACTGAGTAGGTGCTGAGTACATGAGTGTAGGAATAAGACATTGTGCTGGCGAGTGGGAAAATGGAGATCTTGAGGGCTTCCTGGAGTAAGATGAGATATCAATAGGTCAGGGGTGAGGCCAGCAGAGCAGGAAGCAGGAGGTTGTTCCAGCTCAGACCTTCCAGCCCCTTAGGAAACTCGGGGGTGGAATCAGGGCTTCGCAGGAAATGACACGCGGTAAGAATCTGGTTACAGGGACTTTGTGGGGTCCTGTCCAACTTGACTTGGGCATAGAGAACACCCAGCCACGAGGCCAGTCTTAGGATTTTCTCTCCACAGTTCCTCCTTGAGACAGGAAAGGTGCATACGTGAGGTATGTGTGTCTGCCCAAAGACAAGCCCTGCCATTGAGCCAAACCTCTGGGTAATCATACCCCTCAATCCCCCACCTCACAGGCCACTTTCAATGAAATTACAAACACCTCTAAAGTCCTCATTTTTATTCAGAAGTCATTCTCTAATTTGCACAAGACACTCTGGTTCAATCACAAAGGAACCTCACTTTTCCTAAAAATAGCAATTTGAGAATCTGGGGACTCTTGTGCTCTGACTTGTCAGGTTATGGTAGTTCTTACTGGTTTAGAGGTTCTTTTCTTATGTATCAATTCATCTCCTCCTGTGCAGACAAGGGAGAAATGAGCTGGTTGCCATCTGGCTAATAGCCACTACCTCTGCTGTGATCCATTCCACCCTCTATGCTGCTAGAGACAAAACCTGGCGCTCTCTGCATGGGCTAATCTGATCCGTCAGCTCTGGTATTCCTGTGTGTAAGTTCACTCAGGTCAAGTTCATCTTCAGCATTGCTATGAAACCCTGTCCACTTGTTGCTGTGTCCACCTGCACCTCCCAGCCCCTGGAGCTGGCCTTCCTTTCTTCCTGCTTACCTCACTCCTGCCTTCCTGCCCCTGCTTTCTTCCTCTCCGTTCCTTCCTTCAAGAATATCATAAGCTCCAAAACCCGAGTCCTCTCCCTTCATTCAAACAGCTCCTGCAATCCCGCCTCCTTGGAGACAGGTCTGTCCAGAGAAGAGGCAAGAGCCCATCCCCAGCATCTGAACCTCCATATTCCCTCCTGCATGGTGCCACCTGTCAGTTATGAGGTGGAAAATACCTTCCATGTGCACCTCATGAGTTAGCTCAGTGCCAATCCCCTGGGTGCCAGTCCTCCCTCTATCTACTGCTCCTGCTCACCTCCCCACTCTTTAAAGAGTCTTGCCTTGGCAAGTGTGGTGGTCCCTTTAAATAGCCATCTTGGTATTCTGGAACTTTCAGACGCTCCCTAATGCGACCTCTCCTTCAATCTAGTGCTTTTTTGATTCCCTTCACATTCCCTGAGTTTCCCACCATCCTCTACTGCAGTGGGAGTGCCCTGCTGCCGTGGCAACGGCCATTCCAGCATCAGCCAATAAAGCCAATATATGCTTTATAGACACAGTTTCCTCGAGTGATTCCTGAAAAGAGAGGGCCGTGCTCAGTCACCCCAACCCCTTCCATCTCCCCCTGCCAAGCCCCCACCCCAACTCTGCAGGACCTGCAGGTTGGAGAGAGCTCAGCCTTCAAGGAGGAGCTAAGTGATGAGAGGGGCCTGGCTGGGCAGGAAGTGGGTGCTGGTGACGTCAGTGGCCTGTGGAAGGGCCCTGGATCCGTCTCAGTTTCTAAAAGGGAGACAAAAAGGAGTCTGTTGGGAATCAGGAAAGTCCCCAACCCCCCCCCCCCCCCCCCCCCCCCCCCCCCCCCCGATCCCTTCAGACGGGCTCATCACCCCATTCTCTTGACAGTTTTTGGGATGGGTTGAGTGATTTGACTGCATCTATTGAGGGTTAATTTAAAGCAAATTTGATGAAGGAGGATGTGGCTGTGCAGCCCAGAAGGAGCAGCAGTGTGCGCTAACCTTCTCACACCTGGGGCTGGGGAGGGGTGCATCCCAGGGGGTGGGGGAACAGAGGGCTCTGCCTGGGACTGGGCTAGGATTACTGGGGAGGAGTGAAACTAGGAAAAGATATGAAGAGGACTAGGCTGCCTCACCCAGTTGACCTTGAAAAGTGACCTTGGGAGAAGCAGGACCTAAGGGAGGGAGCCGTCAGCAGGTGAGTCTGCATTTGGTCCCTTCAGAGGTAAGAACAGAGCAGGGAAGAGAAAGGATTTTCTGCATTTCAGTGCCCACGGTTAGCTTCTGGAGATGGAGCGCTATTACTGGGGTGCAGGGGACAACTCCTCAGGCCTCTGGGTTCCTCTGAAGCAGATAAACAAATTAGCACCAGGCAGACTTGTAGGTGAAAAGACCAAATTTGGAGAATTTTCATGACTGTAAATTCTAAAGTAAATTTGGTCTTTTGCTCCTATGACTCTGATGTTTGTCTTTCTAGAAGGCCCCGGAGGGGTGGGGCCAGCACACGACAGAACCAAACCACAGTCTCTGCAAGCCCACCCACCCTGGTCCCAGCTTGTCTGAGTGACAGCCCTTCTTTCAGTGTGTTCTGCTCAGACCCCAGGGGGAGGCTTACCCTTCGCCTCCCCAGCAGATTTCACCTCAGCCTGTGGAAAGCCTCCAGCCACTGTTCCCCACAACTTTCTGCCCCTTTCTCTGCTATGCCATTTCCCCAAGTCATTGTCCTCTTCCCCAGGGACATCCTCCTTCGTCAAATGTGCACAGGCTAGGCTGGAGGCTGCAAAAGCAGCAGCCTCTGAACACAGCCAGCTGCTCCAGCTGATATCCTGATGGGCTTTCGATGCCCAGCTCCGTTGGGCAGTGGAGGATAGGGTAGAGAGAAAACAGGCCAAAATTCTTGCCCTCGTGGAATGGCCGTGCCCATGGGAGGGAGAGGCAATAAATAAATTAATTACTTAGGCATGTTAACTATCAAACAGTACTAA